TTTTTTGACCCCTTGGTTGTCTCTTTCTTTCTATTCCCATGTATATGGGGATGTTTGTTAGAAGAGAGTGAGGTGAAAAAGAGCGGTAAATATAATGAACACATTGTATTCTTATCGATATTTTGATGCCTTTTCTTTTCATTGTCCTGTTGCTGTGTCTATGCCACAGTTTCTTGTGATTTTCTTTTTTCTTTCTATTTGTTTTCCCTTTTTTTTTGGTAGGGATAGAGAAGGATGGTGCGCCACCATGAAATATGATGATTATTTTTGTGGCGTTTTTTGGTATAATGGGCGTATTTGTAGGTTGGGCAATTATTTTTTTTTTTTTGATTCTACTTGCGTTCTAAATGGACTTGGTTGAAGTACTATGTTTTTTCTTTGTGTAATTTTTCTGAGTTTTTGGGTTCATATGTTTTGTTATAGTTTGGTGGAGCGGTTTTTTTTTTTTTTTTTCTGTTGATGGTTTGGGTTACGTTGTTACACGTTGTTTTGTTGCCTGGAAGGTAGAATAAATAAGTTGTACTCTTTTGTTTTTGTGATGGTAACAAAGTTGATTCATTGTCATGGTTTTTTTTTCCCCATATAGTTGTACCTATATTAATGGTTTTTTTTTGTTACTGGGATTGGCTTCGTTATTTTCTTGTCTCTGTTTGGTTTTTTTTTTTGTTTTGTTGTTGTTTATTCCTTGATTTTTATATTTTTATGTAAATATATATATATATTTTTTTTTCCTTATTAATTACCATCTGAAGGAAGTTCCCCTACACAAAACAAGTAAGAAAAAGAGGTACGATGCAGGAGTTCCATGCCTTTGAGCTGCAGCCCGGCAAAGAGCACCGTCTTGCGCTGCCACCCATGCACGGCTTCCACCTTTCAGTTGTGACGATCCCGCATGGCGGTAAGGGCCGCAGCACGTTGTATGCCACTGTTGATGGTAAATCGTTTGCCATCGCCACACTCGATGCCGCGCAGAACATTCTGCAGGCACCCACAGATCTCATCTTCAACGAGCAGCAGCAGGTGGTGTTCCGTGTGAAGGGAAATGCCGTTCTGCACTGCTGCGGATACCAGCAGGAGCTCGATGCCGAGTTCCAAGACGAGGAAGGCAGCGAAATGGAACAGAACGGTATGATGAATGAAGAGAGCGACGAGGAAAGCAGCGTGGATATGAAGGATCCAACACAGGCGCCCATGAACGGCCATAACGACAGCGATGAGGATGAGGATGAGGAAGGCATGGATGACTTGGAGGATGAGGAAATGGACGAAGATGATGAGGAGATGGACGAAGATGATGAGGAAATGGACGAGGATGATGAAGAGATGGATGATGAAGATGATGAGGAAATGGATGATGATGAAGAAATGGATGATGATGATGATGAGGAGGAGGAAGACGAGGATGAAACCAATGAGGCTGCGGCAAAGCGTGCAAAGATCAATGACACCCCACAAGGTCGTCCCAGTCAACAACAACAACAACAAAAGCAACAATCCCAGAGCCCACAAGGTCGTCCCAGTCAGCAACAACAGCAACAGAAGAAACAAGTGCAGAGTCCTCAAGGTCGCAACAGTCAACAACAACAACAGCAACAGAAGCAACAATCCCAAAGCCCACAAGGTCGTCCCAGTCAGCAACAGAAGAAGCAAGTGCAGAGTCCTCAAGGTCGCAACAGTCAACAACAACAACAGAAGCGTGGTCGTGAATAGGTGTTCTTGTACTATCCTTTCCTGTTGTCTATAGTAGACAGGGAACATTAAATAATTTTTACCCTTCAGATACGATTTAAAACATTATCTACTCTCTATTTTCTAAAGAAACCATAACTGCTAAGCGCATTTGAACTCTCAGTTTGGAAGAAAGAAGAAGCAGTGGAAAGAAAAAAAAAAATAAGGAAGAGAAAACATTCTATGATAATTGAATGAATGAGTGAAAGAAGGCGTCTGTGGCTCTTTTTTTTTTTTTTACCTTATTTATTTTATTCCTTTATATTGGATCTGTCAAGGTGCGATTTTACGGTTTTTTTTTTTTTTTTTATCTTGTTTACTACTTATCTGTTTAATTAGGATCTATTCTATGGGAATCAAGGGTGTTTTCTTCACTCTTCTTATTTTCTTTAATAAAATAATAAGATAGTAAACTTGGCGTATGCGAAAGTGTTATTTACTCCTCATTTTCTTTTCCCTCTTGTAGATTTACTGGCGTATTGATAGAAGCAATATAATCTCCAAGAAGGATATTTTCGTCTTGGTGGCGTTACGAGAGAGTAGGAACCGAAGAAGAAGAGATAACGTTGTGACTGTACTGAATAGTACCAACAACCGCAGGGAGAACGTGGTGAGTCATAATACTTTCAACACCACTTGTAAAGTAATCTCCACGTCTTTATTTTCTTCTTTCTCTATCTATCTATCTCTTTCTTTCTTTCTTTTTTGGAGTTGTTCCTGCTTGCATTGCCATGACGGAGCTTGTGAACCCCAATCCGACTGTATTCCACCATTCGGAGGAGCCGCTGCGGCGCAGTGCGGCGGAGTTGCTGCGGGAACAGGACGACACCGTCCGCGACCCGCTGGACGCGCTGGAGGTTTACGAACACATCCGCCGCATTCGCGACCCGGAGCACCCGAACACGTTGGAGCAACTGCGGGTTGTGCGGCCGCAGCACATCACCGTGGACGAGTCGCGGCAGTTGGTGCGGGTGGAGTTCACCCCCACCGTCCCGCACTGCAGCATGACGACACTCATTGGCCTCTGCATTCACGTGCGGCTCCAACGCGCCCTGCCGGTCCACACGAAAATTGACATCCGCGTCGCCCCCGGCACACACGAACAGGAGCAGCAGGTGAATAAACAACTGGGCGATAAGGAGCGAGTGGCGGCGGCGTTGGAGAACAGTAATTTATTAAATGTGGTGGAATCGTGTTTAAATGAGTTTGATTGAGGTTTGGTGGTGGTGGGGTGAAAGACGTCTGCAAATGGGCAAAAACTGATAAAAGAAGGGGGTGAGAGCTGATAAAGAGAGTGAGTAAAATGAAAGAGACAGAGAGAGAAAAAAAAGAAAGAAAGAGAGAGTAGTAGTAGTAGTATGGAGTTAAGAAGAAGAAAGAGAGTATATAATTGAGGTTTGAACAGGAGAAGTGCATATTTTTTCTCCTTTTCTTTTTTTTTTTCTCCTTTTCTATCTATCTATCTATCTATCTATCTGTCACTTTATATATTGAAATTATTCTTGTATTGTATTGTAATTCTTTTTATTGTGGAATACAAGTCTGTATTCTCTGGTTCTTTCTCTGTGTGTGATATACACATACAACTGCGGAGAATTATATATATGAAACTATTTTTATTTTTCATCTATTCATTTGTATAACTATTTGTGTTTAAAACACGGGTATGTTTATCATACTTATCTCTTATATTCTTCTTTTTTCCCTTTTTCTTCTTTTTTTTTTTTCTTTGTTTTTTTTTCTTAACAGAAGAAAGGAATAGGCGTTGAGGTTTTCACCTCTTTTTTTCTTATTACCTTCTTTTTCTTTTATTATATTGTTTTTTTTTTGTGTGTGTGAAGCACAGTGCAAAGAAGGGGAAAAAACAACAACAACAAAAAAAAAAGAAACACCCTTTTTACTTGTATTATTTCTCATTTCTTTATTGACGTTCCATACGGCAGTACTACCAAACAACAAAGAAGAGCAACAAAGCAAAAAGATAATAAAGAGAGAAATAGAAGAAGGACAACTAGACGAAAAGAACGAAAAGAAAGCACCTTACTAGAGTGAATATATTCTTATATTCTACGTGTTTCCCTACGTAGGTGTCTTTGTCTTTCTATCTGATTGTGTTTGTAGTTTGTTCCCTTTCGTTGAGAGAGAATTGAGAAAGAGAATTGAGAAAAACTGAGTGTATCTTCAGTCAGTCAGTCAGTCAAAGAAAGTAAAGCTTTTAAAAAAGGAAAAAAAAACAAGATTTAGACAAGAAGGCAGACAGGCAGGCAACTAGATACAAACTACACCCACACACTTACATACCCACACCCAAACAGAAGTATATATATATATATATATAATTTGTTTTTGTACAAGCACTTTGTATTACAAAACAAAGAATAGAGGAATACAAACACAGGTTTACAAATCTTTTCTTGTTCTTCCCGTGTCTGTTATTGTTGTTACCATAAATATTTTTTATTTATTCAAGCAAACACAATAGTAGCGACATCAGCGAACAAGAAAACCAAGGAACTTGCATTTGGATAAAAAAAAAAAGAACAAATAGCTTCTGGAAGAAAGAAGGGCGAAAAAACAAACAAACAAAAAAAAAAGCAAACAAACCAAAGAAAAAAAAAAATCCTGTAGTATCTACATCACCTTCACCTTCTCTTTGCGACTTTTCTTTCCCTCTATCATACACGTATTTTTGTGTGAACTGAGAGAAACGAACGAATAGAGAGAATTATTGTACCACTTCAAGAAAAAAAAAAAAAGAAAAGAAAACAAACAAAAAAAAAAAAAAAAAAAAAAAAAAAAAAAAAAAAAAAAAAAAAAAAAAAAAAAAAAAAAATAGAAAGATTTTGAGATCACGCACAAAGAAAAAAATATATATTTTTATTTATATATATTTGAGAAAGAAATAAAGAGTATTTACCACGGAGAAGATTGTGACTCGGAATTTTTTTTTTTTTATCTGCATTGTGTTTACCTGAATATCTTTCTTGTATCACTCATTTTTATCCACCCCCCAATTCCACCCACAAAATAAAACAAAACAACAAGAAAAAAGAAAACAGCAGTTTTTTTTTTTTCACTTTTTTTGTTTCTGCTACTGCTGTGATTCTTATTGATTTTATTGCTGCTTTGGTGATACAAACGCATACACGCACATATATATATACATATAAATATATATTTTATATATATATATATATTTATATATATTTATCTATATTACTCCACGCTACTACAGGAGGACTGACTAATTGAAGCACAAGATCGCTACAACTAGCAGTCTTAACATTATCAGTAGCCAGAGTGGGACACATCTCCCAGACCTCGTGACGACTAGAAGCCGAGAAAAGAAAGAGCAAATAATAAAAATAATAACAACAATAAAAAGGAAAAAAAAAAACAAAAATAAGCCGCACGTAAAGACCGCAAAAAAAAAAAAAAAAAAAGGAAAGAAAAAACAACAACAACTAGAGAAATAAAAAAAAGAGTATTGAGGAAGAAATATCTGAAGAAGAACAAGAGAAACCTTTTATTTTTGTGTGTGTGTGTGTGTGCATATATTAATTATAAGTGAGCAAACAAAAAAAAAAAAAAGTGGGAAAGCGCGCCGCGTATATTTTAGAAGCAAATCAACCCACATTCTTATTTTACTCTGCGTAAAACCCAGAGGTCTATTATTTACAGTACTTGACGTTAAAAGCCCTTTTTCGTTCCATCTGCAGTCAGTAGAGGAAGTTCCTCATTTATTCATTTCTCTTATTTGGCTTTCATCACGTTAACGATGGAAGGAACAGGAGCATTTGTGTCTGCGAGAGTCAATCCCCAGGAGAGTAACTTTCAACCGCACACCCCATCCTCGGTAAGTAAAGAGAGCAACAGTCCATTTCTCAGTCATCTCACCACACCAAGCCGCAGCTACCAACAAGAACAACAACAATTACAATTACAACAAATGCATATGGAAGATAAAGCTGCAGTTCCAGCTGCTGCCAGTGATGTGGAGCCGAAGGAAAGTTCATCATCAGGTACATGTAAGAACGGCTCAACGTGGATGAGTAGTAATGAAACGGGAGCGGCACCTAAATCTACACTAAATCCAGAAGCGAAGGAGTTTCAACTTCCATTCAACAGATCAAGTGAGTCGTTTATACCTTTACCAACATCAGCTACAACAACAACAACAGCCACTTCTACAATAATGCCTACTGCGTCTCTGTTTTATCCTAACAATGGTGTTTCTTCGTCGATGCCACTATTTGCTGTACCATCTATCTCTATGGGATGGATGGCGAATACGGGAGTTCCAATGGATCCAGTGTTTACATCTTCTATGAGAAGTGGAGATGCATCCAAGTGGCCACCAATATCGTCACTTACACATGTTTCACTTTCACAAGGTGTAGGAATGAATACTATGGATGATACGACTATTGCTACTCCTTCTAGTGTAGCTCCTTCTCTTACTACTCCTACAACGGTTGGGGTTGGGAGTAATACGAACATCCCTCTTCCGCTTCCTCCAATGACTCCACGTTCACTTTCAAGACGTATAATGGAGGATTATAATACAGAATGTAAAAGTAATGGATTTCATATGGTGGCTGTTTTTAATTTGGAACCACGTACAACACAGGAAGAGTTACTGAATATATTTTTTCCAATGGGTGCTAGAAAAGCGGAAATGCTTCCACCACATCGATCTCTACGGCCAAATCGTCGAGCAGGTGTTGTGTTTTTCTCATCTAAGGATTTTGCTGCAGTAGCGGTAGAGAAATTTAATGATTTTGTTCCCAACCGACAACATCAACCTCTCACTGTGCGGTATTGTGGACCGGATGTATCAGAGGCGTCCACACGGGAAACTTCACTACAGTCTGTAACCTCACCTTATTCTTTTTCATCATCATATCGTCAGCAACAACCACAACCACAACAATCACAATCACAATCCGTTGCGAGAGCAGTTTCTGCATCTCCTGTACAGTCTTGGCGTTTGACAGATGGAGCACAATTGAATCGAGTTCATGCCGATATGTGGAGATTTTTAAGTAATGGTTTCTCTCTCTTGCCAACCACTTTAAAGCATGTTGTGGCAATCCATGGACTTGACCCTGAAAATGCAGAGAGTGTTCTAACGATGAATTTTATGAATCAAGGTGCTGAACGGTATGAGATGTGGCCAGTGAAAAATATTGGATTTATCACAACACCGATAACATGCGGCAGTGTGAGTGCTCTTGTCTGGTATTCACAAGAAGCAAAGGCACGAGAAGCGGAAGCGAATTTTCGACTCAGGACACCAGTCGGTCAAACACAACCAATTGATGTAGTCTATCTTAATGCCCTTTATACTACCAATGGAAGTTCAACAGGTGTTATTGGTGATATCAATACTATTGGTACTCAAGCTTATAGTGGGTTGTATGGTGTCAATAACAATAACAATAACGTCACTGCTGTTCCCGTAACTAATGTAACGACTACTGTTTTTCCTGCTCCTTCTGCTACTACTACTACCACTACTACCACTACTACTACCACTGCCAGTAATACTATTACGACTAATAATAATAGTAGTGGTGTTTCTGATCCATGGATGGCAACACTTGAAAATATTGATGCTTATTTTCTTCGTGAATATGATGATCCTAAACTTTTTCTCGTTGGTGTTCATAATTTATCTCCGAGTACGAGCAAAAAACCACTTTTCCGACTCTTTTCTCCACATGGAGCTCTTGATGTGAGTATTTATCCGGATCTTGTGAATTGTGCTGGGGATGTTCGTCGTAGTGGTGTGGTATTTTTTGATACGGAAGTGGCTGCACGCAAAGCCGCTGAAAAACTGGATAATTTCGTTGTTTCCAAACAACCCTATCCCATCATTGCACGTTATTTGGTGAAACCCTCTTTTACAGAAACTTCTGCTGGGGCTACAGTGACATCATCCTTGACAGGTCAAACAGTGTTTAATGTGTTGGGAGGAGATGCTAAGAGGAATCCATTGTTATTGGCAGTGGCAGAGGAATTGTGTGCACCTATTGTGGATGCTGGTCAATTAACAGAAAAGTTAATGATGCTCATTGTTCATCCCGATTCAACAGAAGCTACAGCTGGACAGTTGGCTTCTGTTATCACTAACACTTTAACAGAAATGATGCATCATGCTGTTGCCCTTTCAACTCCCCTTGTAAATGCATTATTGTCATTGCATGAAAAATTAAATATTCCTCGAAAAGGTTGTAAAGATATAACTCTTGAAGGAACTACTCAAGATCCTGTGCTTACTCGAAATATCTTTTTCATGCAAACAATTGCTCGTGCTCTTATTCAATTACTTATGGACAATACCAAACCGCATGAATCCCGTAAAGTTGCAGCTGTTTTAACTGGATATTTATTTCAGTTCTCTTATTTGATGAAAAGTCCATATGAATTAGCCGTGAAATTAATTAAATCCAATGAGAAAAATTTAAGCCTTGCAAGGGAATACAGGAAAAGTGCAGAAATGGTTATGAAAACGGCTGCTTTACTTGAGTTTGAAGAAGAAGAACAAAAACCATGGATAACATTAATGCAATGTCTAGATCAAATGACATCCCTATGGAGACAAAATAATAAATCGCGTGCAAAGAAAGATCCATATCGTAAAGAATATGAACGACTTGTGGAAGAGTTTTTCCGAGATGGTGGTCGTGTGGGGAGTAGTACTTCACTCAACACAAGTACACGCCCAACACCTAGACGAGTAGTAGCTAAAGTTACACCAGGGACTGGGACTGGTAGTGGTAGTGTGGGTAACAGTTCACCGGGATTAACACAACCCTCATCAAGTGTACCTCGTGTGAGTCTTCGTGGTGTTGGGGGAGATTCCAGTGGATTTTCACACGATATCTCCTTTGATAGTGTTGCCTCACATCCAACGATGCCGGTTTCTTTTGTGTTTGAATCTTCTACCCAAACAGCATCAACATCAGCATCACGCTATGATAATGGGAATAATTATATGCTTGGGGCATCCCAAGAGCAACAACAACAACAACAACAACAGGTGCAAATACAGGTTCAACCACGTATTGGGAATTCTCGTGCTTTTGTTTCGGATATAAATACATCATTAGATTCTATGAAACCCCCACTTTCTGTGCGTACCGGTGGTGCTTCTATGCCGTCTGTTTATACACATACGGAGCTTATGGAACGTACAGTGTATATCACAAAATTACCATCTACACTACGAAGAGCTCAGTTCCGTCGACTTTTATTACATTTTGGGGAATTCAATAAAGTTCGCATGTGTCGTGATGAGAATCAAATTCATGCAAAAACCGATGTTCTTTCTTCTTTTGGATTAACAGGATTTTCTACAGGAGACTCTCCAGTTTCATTGTGTTTCAGTTTTGTTGAATTCGCTGAACAAAGTAGTGCCAAGGCGATGGTGGAGTACTTTCGAAATGCCTCTTCCAACCCGCAGCCGTTTGGTTTCCTTCTAGACACTACATTATCATGGCCAAAGTGCAGTCATTTCACACCGCAGCATATTCAACTCTTATTACACGCTCGAACGAGTCCTGCACGAAATCCAATTCACGATCAACTTCCCATGGACGCCGTATTGACATGCACTCCTCAACACCCACGGCTTGTTCTGCGAAATCGACCCTCTCTGTACGGTGTGGAAGACGGTGAGAAGTCTATTGATCCGAGTGATGATATGATTGTGTATGCGCCTGGTGGATCTGGCAGTTTATCAAGTGCGAAAATGAGTAAATATTTACCCTATCCTGCTGTAATTACTATTTCTACTACTAATGCTACTACTACTACTACTTCTAATACAGTGGGAAATGGAGAAGGAGATGTGGAGCCGCAGCATGTGGGTACTTCCTTCCCTGTGAGTAACCAGAGGGATAGATTGAAAAGTGAAACAATAGAGGATGATGATTTAGATTTCCATAATATAATGAATACTGTGGTGGCTTCTGTGGCTCGACACAATTTTACGGATAGTACGAGTGAAATGTTATCACACAATGATCATTATTTTAATCCCATGCAGGTGCCATGGTTAAAGGAGGTGACCCCTACTGCACATGATGGGAATCTTTGGACGACTATGACCTTTTCAGTGGATACCAATACTACTACTACTGCTGCTGCTAATAATAATAATAATAATAATAATAATAATAATAATAATAATAATAATAATAATACTGATGGTACAGCATTAGAATTAACAGGAGAAGATTCTACTACTGTTTTTGGTCCAACCTTTGTTACCTCTTCTGCAGTGGAGTCAGAAAAGACATGGTCTTCTTATCTTCCTCCCTTTGGAAATCCACTTATTGAGGATGATAAGGATAGTTCGAGCAGTGTGGAGAGTGGGAGTGGTCGTTACAAAAATATTAACGCATGCTGGGAATGATAAGGTATTATTATTATTATTATTATTATTATTATTATTATTATTGTTATTCTTATGCTAGAAAGAGAAACTACGATGAGTGGTTTCATATATATTTATATATATATATCTGTATGTGTGTGTATGTGCCCATGTAAACATGTATTTCGTGTAAGTAGGATAAAAGACAAAAAGAAGAATCACTGCATGATCGCAGTTTTTACTATCTTTGATTCGGTTTAGACAGCATATCTTTCTTTTTTTTTTTTGTTTTTGTTTTTGTTTTTTGTATTGTGCAACGAGTGCTGGGCTATTCCCATGTACACTGTGTTGTATCATATTGAATAGACAAGAGGTTCGGTTGCGGATGAGACACGGACCGAGAGGATCTGCTTGAAGACGTAAAATAGTAATTGTTTCAACAGAAACGATATCCAAAGAGAAGAAAAAAAAAAAAAAAAGATGCGACAGTAGATAAAACAAGAAAAAAAAAGAATATATATATATATATATATATATATATAAACCAACCAAATTTATAAACATGGCCACAACTAGGACCTCAGCAAGATTGAAAATAATAAAAAAAAATATAAAGAAAAAAAAAAGATGAAAAATTTTATTCTGCTCTAAAAAAAAAAAAAGATAAAAAAATTTTTCTTAGTTTTTCTGTACCTGCTTTTTTCTTTTATATATATATATATATATATATATCCTTTTTCTTTTTTATTTTGCTTTTTTTTTATTTTGCGCTTTCCGCGTTGAGGGCTATTGATTTTTCTTTGTTTTCGCAGCCCAGCAGCTGCGCTTCTGTGTTGCTAGGATTAGATGCATTTGTTGTGTTTTTTTTTTCCCCCCTTTTCTTCTTCTTCCCTCTTCTTTTTATTTTTCCTCCTTTCTTCTCTCTTCTTCTTTTTTCATGTCTTTGTGTACATTTTCTTTTATGTTGATTGCTCTTGCCTCGGCAGCTAAGTGCATTTCTGCCAGTGATTTTACGGGTAGTTTTCACTTCTGCTCTTTTTATTATTTTTATTTTTGCTATTATTGTGATTTCACTCGCTTGTTCCTTCTTCTTATTCCTTTTTTTTTTTTTATCTCTCTGTGTGTGAGAGAGAGAAGATGAATGGTAAGAAGAAGAAGAAATAAAAGGTGAGTGAGATGTAATCAAGGAAGAATTAAAAGAGATAAATTGCAAGAGTGGAGTATAAGAGAGAAATAGACAAGACAATAAAGAAAGAACAGAAAAAAAAGAAAAAAAAAATGGTTGCTAACCATATATATAAAGTATATGAAAGGAATTATATTTATTGCTGAGATGTGAGTGAGGAAGCATAATAAAGAAATGAGATCAGAAGAAAGGTATCCATTTTGTACTTTCACCTTGTATTTACTTTTTTTTTTTTTTATCTTTGTTCCTCTTTGTTAAACTGTACGCTGGGTTTTTTTCTTTTCTTTTTTTATATTCCTTTTTTTTTCTTTTTTCTAAAAAATGTGCTACTTATGTTATATAGTTCTTTGGTGTTCTTATTTTCCCCTCTTCTTTTCTTTTTTGTTTTTGTTATTATTATTATTATTATTTGTCACTCTGACTGTCGCCGCCCTATCCTCTCGCGTAACCAACAGGTAAACAACAGCGGCCACTTTACCAGCATCAGCAAGAATAACTCGGCAATATAAGGAAATTGTGCGCAAGCATTAAAGGAAAAAGAAAGAAAAAGAAAAAAAAAAACTACTAAGAGATTGAAAGAAAAGAAAAAGAAATAAAAAACTTGATGTGCAATTCCTTCCTTGTTTAAATAATTTAATTATTGTATGTACGTGTGCTTAATCTACATATTATGTGTTTTTACCAAATAATGGTGGTTTTTTGAGAGATGTATATGCTGGGATTTGCGAGTAAGGATGCGTTGAGCGTCGAGTTGGCGTTTTTTTTTTTTTTTGTTAGGGGGTATGGGAAAGAAAGGATATATGGTGGAAAAGCTATTTTATTTTACTTTGTTTTTTAATTGTTTTATTGAATTTATCTATTGTTATACTATACATCAGGAGAAAACTATGTCCATTACTTTAATTATATATTTGTCTGAGTTATTGTAATTGTTTCTCTTACTCTTTCTTTTTTTTCTTCTTCTTTTTCTTTTAGGTATGGTAGCTGTATAGATAGATGGGAAGAGAAAAGAAGGGGAGATATACAGTTGTTATGATACTCTCTTCTTGATGGAATGTTGGAGTAATAGAAGATGTAGATGAAGTACCCGATGTCTTTGTCTGCTTTCTATTCCAGGTAAATATTATTATTATTATTATTGTTGGTGCCTGTATGGAGGTCAATTATCTGTGTATAGATTACTTGGTGAAGGGATGCTCCTTTTCTTCTTATTTTGATTCTGAAGAGTTGTTTTTTATTATTAATCTTTTTTTTTTTTGCATTCGTTCTGTCAAATTTCAGATGTATGTATTTCTTTTCTTCTTTTATTATTATTGTTATTATTATTATTATTATTATTTGTTGCTCCCTTGCAGCTACAGAAATTCTGTCAGGCCGCATGACTGATCCTCTTCGGGTGACGGTGGAGTGCTGGGAGAATCAGCGCTATCATCCACTGAAGGGTTGGGGATTCCACCGGCTGCCGATGGACCGCACGGCGTGGTCCAATAAGAAGGGCGACGCGGTGCTCTGCCGCGATAGTTTTCTCACGCCGATTGGTTGGATTTGGGCCACCGAGTGGACCGTCGCCCCCAACGGGCAGCACCGCGAGGGATGGTTCTACGCAGCGGACTTCAGTATTCCCACACGCTTCTGCAGTAGCACACCAAACAGCATGAGTTACGTGCGGCGACGCAAATGGGTCCGCACACGTGTGCAGTTAACATATGATGATGATCATCATCACCACAACAATAACAATAGTGGAAGTGTGGGGTTGTTGGATGTTTTATCGCATTCTTCTAGTTTTCAGGCGGATCCGCGTGTGGTGTGGCTGAGCACTTCTTTCTATGGATTTACCGGAGCCACAGTGGAGGAGCAGCGGGAGGATCAGCGTAGACAGCATATCTGTTGTTATAAATTACATCGTTGTTTAGATGTATCTCGCGGTAGTGTTATCACAGTAGAGGAAGAAGAAGGTGAAGAAGACACGGAGGTGCTTTGTAATAATAATAATAATAATAATAATAATAATAATAATTTATCATTACATCGACATCCTTCTGTGACCTCTGCTGTGCTTAACTGTGTGTATAATTACGGTCTTGCCCAATGTCTACGTCCGGCGCTTTGGTTAGAGTGGTCAGGCGCTGCATCTCTTCAACGAGAATCTCCTCGGATGTATGATGAACTTATGTTGCATATCGATAAGGTTTGTGGTCAGCCATTACAGGATATTATGCAAGATGTCGTTCGAACCGCACCTCGTCATCCATTCTTTGCGAAAGATGGAGGTGGAGCAGAAGAACTACGTAAAGTGTTGTTAGCTTTAGAGGTTGCAGGTGTTCTACCTTCTTATCATCAAGCATTTAGTTATATTGTAGCTACGGTCTTATTAAACTTGCCGGCGAAGGAGACTTTTTGGGTTGTCACTTCTCTTTTTGATCAATTTCTTCCACATGGATATCATGAGGAATACCGTTTACAGGAGGATTTGATTTTATATAAACAAATACTTGAGAATAAGATGCCCGATGTCTTTGCACATTTTAAATTACGTCGTATAGAAGTTTCCGTATTTGCAAGCGGATGGCTTCAGGGATTATTTTGTGCACATTTCCCATTTTGTACTGCGGCTCGTATTCTTGATGTTCTCTTTGCTGAAGGTGATAGTAGTATTCTGGTACGTTTTCTTGTAGCATTTACGATGAAGTTCCGTCTGGAGATGCTGGAAATGGATAGTAGCGGTTCATTAGGTCACTTTGCAAATGAGTGGGCACGTAACTGCTTTGATATTGATGATATTATGACTGCTGCGAAGAAGGATGGACTGAGATCTATTGTTTTATTTCACAGGATGGAACGTGCACAGAATGATAAGGTGAGTTAGTGGTTTGAGAATGGATACCCTTTGTGTTTGGGTAATTGTAATGTTGAATTGTTTTTTTTTTCTTATTTATTTATTATTATTATTATTATTATTATTTGTTGCTGAGATTAGGAGAATGGTGTTTCACTTTGCTACTTGATTGAAATTCAGTGGTAAAATTGTTCGATTCTTTTTACTATTCTTCCTTTTTTTTCCTTTTTTTTTTCTTTGTTTGTTTCTTGTTCTTGTATATCCTGTATTTAATATTGAAATTGCACTAATCGCATTACGTTAGATGATGTGCTGTTTTTTAGGGTTTATATGACTATAGGATTTACACAGAACATTTTTGCCCAGAAATATATATATATATATATATATATATATATATGTACATGTTTATCGTATTTTGTTTCTACGAGTGAGGGAATTTTTTTTTCTTTTTAAACTTTACGTCTTGATATGTCTCTGTGCTTCTATATGTGTTTTATTATTTCTTATATATATATATATATTCTATTCCTTTTCTTTTCTTTTGTTGTTGATATCTTTCATTCTCACCTCATCTTCAGTTGGTCTCAGTCAGAGAAGGAAAGAGAAAAAGAAGGAAGAGGCGGCACCCATTATATACATTACGTGGGTGTAATGTGGTCGTCGGCGTTTAAAACACATCAATGTCTACGTACCATACGCCAATGGGATAATCCTCCGCAGAACACCAACACAGAGAATAATAATAATAATAGTATCACTCCGTTTAACCCGCAGGATATAGTGAAACAGACACAAAATAACGTCTCTGTTGTTAGTGAAAGTACGGCAGAGAAAGAAGTTCTAGAGGATACAGTAGTAGCACAGAAGCGTCAGCGTGGAGAAGATATGTGTGATGCTGACAGTAGTGTGATTCCAACTTTATCATCCATAGATACAAATCCCTCACCATTAGTTAAACAACGGTGTGAAGGGAATAAGGAAAAAGAAGATAGCATAACAGGCGAGATTGTAGTTCTTTCTGAAAAACGTCTTGCTGAAGAAGTAATTCTCATAGATGATGATGATGATGACGATAATGATAATAATAATAGTAGTAATATGAATAATTCGAATGAGGATGTTATGTTGCAGGAAGAAGGTGTATCTCAGGTTCAAAAGGATAGTCCAGCCTCACGTGAAACAGAATCCGAACGGTTAAATAGTTCACAGACTCCCAAAGGGAAATCAGGACTTGCTTTAGCTTCCTTTCTTTTTTTTAATCCCTTATCTGAGGAGCAACAACAGATATTTGATCTAGTTGTCAATCGTGGTCGATCTATTTTTCTTACCGGTGGTGCTGGTACAGGCAAATCACATTTACTCCGTTCTATTGTGGCAGCATTACCAAAAGAGACAACTTTCGTCACTGCGACTACAGGAATAGCGGCATTAAATCTTGGTGGGAGTACAATTCACAACTTTGCGGGTTGTGGCATTATAGACCCACAGCAGCATTCAGCGGATGATGTTTATTACACCGTTCAGCGGAAAACAAGGGCGAAACGGAATTGGCGTACGTGTAGTGTTTTAGTGGTAGATGAGATATCCATGATGGATGCATGGTTTCTTGATGTTCTCGAGTATGTGGCTCGCAAGATACGTGGAAGTCGAGAACCTTTTGGTGGTATTCAAGTTGTTTTCTCTGGTGACTTTCTACAACTTCCCCCAGTGGTAAAGAACAGCAAGAAAGAGGCTCGTTTTTGTTTTGAAGCGAAATCCTGGTGCCGTATAAATCCACGTGTGTGTATTCTTTCTCGTTGTTTTCGTCAAAAGGATGGTGTTTTTTTCGGTATGTTGAATGAAATGCGTCGCGGGGCACTCACCGCAACATCTCTCGCTCTTTTAACTTCACTTTCCATCACCACAACTGTACGTTATGTGAAGGAGGAAGGGAAAGAAGTAAAGAAAGAGAAAGAGGTGAAAGAAGAAGAAGAAAAGGAAGAGGAAAACGAAAAGGAAGAGGGAACAGGAGAAGTAAAAACAGAAAAAAGAAGGTGTGGAGGTGGTGAAGTGGCGACTATTGTGGAGGGTGATATTCGTGCAGGGCGAGAACGGTATGATGGATTTACGATATTGCGTGCACGACGGGCGGAGGTGGAGGCGATGAATATGGATCGATTTAATGAATTGACAACAAAGATTGTGACCTACAATGGTTTTCACAGAGGTGAGGGGAGGTTTCCGACAGATTTACCTCAACTCGTTTCTCTGCGAGTTGGATGTCGTGTAATGCTGCTGAAGAACTTGGATGTTTCTCTTGGTCTTGTGAATGGTAGTGTGGGTACATTAGAGAAATTGATTGACACAAGTAATGTGAGAGATTTTGCACATAGAACCACTCCAGGAGATCTTCGTTTATTAGCCACACATGGATTTCTCCCTGTTGTGCGCTTTGAGACTTATGATAGTTCTGGTACGAATAAGACTAGTGGTGGTCGTCTTGTTATGATCGAACCGCATAGGTGGACTGTACTCCAAGGAGAACGTGAAGTGAGTTGTAGTATTCAGATTCCTCTACAACTTGCCTACGCTATTACTATTCACAAATCACAGGGGATGTCACTTTCTCATGTGAATGTTGACTTTAAAGGTATCTTTGAAGAAGGACAGGCGTATGTGGCTCTCTCTCGTTGTTGTGATATGAGTAATCTTGTGATTGAAAACTTTGATGCCTGTCGTGTTAATCCAAATGTCAAAGCCTTAGCATACTATAAAGCTCTTGATGATGCAGCCGCAGAGAGGAAAAGGAAAGAAGCAGAAGACGAAGAAGAAGAAATACTAAAAAATGGTGGTAGTGTATATCCATGGGGAGTACGTGATTTTCATTATATTGACAACGAGTATAGTGGAAATAATAATAATAATAATAATAATGAGGAGGATGATGATGATGGTGATGAAAGTAGTAAAAATACACCGCAGGAGATGTACTGGAAAAAGAGTGCTACAGCCATTATAGAAGATATTAGACGTCGTCTGACGCCTACATTTGTGATGTTATCTACTATTCGCTTACGTGTACTCTCCGCCACTGAGCGGGCGACATCTCTGAAGGGAGCCTTATTCGTTATGGACACAACGTCTTTATTCGCATTAGCAAGTTCTATGAATTCTGCTGAAATGTATGAAAATTTATTCCTTAAGCAACAAAATATGATTCGAGTTCCACGTGTAGTGAAGGATGAACTCCTGCAGACTGTTTCTCTAGCGGAGGTATCTGAAGTTCGATCCACACCGACAGTACGTCTCAGTTTCAGCAGCGCCCGTTCAAACTCGCCCACGACGGCAATGGATTATCAATCGGCTGCAGAGATGGCGGCGGCAACATTGTCTGTGATGGAAGATGCAAAGAATGAATTTGTCTTGGATGAACAGCGTGAGGGGGAATCTCGTCCATTACCGCCCATTTTACCACAGTGGGAGGCATTTCCTCTATTTTCTAATACATCATCTGCTCATCTCTCTACAGTTGGTAATAGTGGTGTTTCTTCTCTTTCTCATACCTTTTGTGATGGGCTTCATACAGTTGGAGGACATGGACTGGAAGTAAATGAGAATAGTGTAATGCGACAAGTGCAGCTTTTGGAGTTTTGTTGTTATTTAATGGAGAAGTATGGATCACATTGTGGTGTGTTTATCTGCACAGAGTCTATGGAATTGGCAGCACATGCGCTTTCTGTTGGTCTTCGTGTGTGTTCTTTATCATACTTGTGTCCCAGTGAACGTGCCTGAGAGTTGTTGTCGTGTGTGTATATGTGTGATTTGCTGTGGTGGAGTGAGTGAGTGAGTGAGTAGGTGTGGGGGAATATCAATGAAACTTCAGTAGAGTAATGAAAAAATAAGAAATATGATGGAAATGTATGCAAACATTTTATGTATATATGTATATTTTATTATTATTATTATTTGTTTTGCGTCTAAATATAATTTTCTTTCTCCTCTCACTACTGACAGAGAAAGGTCAATACAGGTAAAGATACATCTTTTAATATAAAAAGGCATCACTATTACTATCATTGCTAGAGCAAAACCGCAACAACAACAAAAAAAGGAAATAAAAAAAAAAAAACAGAATATATATATATATATAGCGAGGAAGTAAGAAAACAAAACCTTAATTCCGTCATTTCATCCTTAATCAAAAGACAAAATACGTCACACAATCGGTGAAAATAATGGCGGAAAAACTTCGTGCGGAACATTTGCTCATTAAATTCAGCGGGAGTCGTAACCCCGTCTCGCGCAGAACCGGCAAGAGTGTTGAAGGTGTATCATATGAAGAGGCCCGTGCAGAGTTACTGCAGTGGGCAGAGAAGATTCGAAATGGGTCAATAACATTTGAAGATGCCGCTCGTCAACGCAGTGACTGTGGCAGTTACGCAAGTGGAGGTGATTTGGGTTACTTTGGCCCGGGAGAAATGATGAAACCCTTTGAAGACGCCGTGCGTGCACTCGACATTGGTCAAGTGAGTGATATTGTTCAGACAGACAGTGGTTTACATCTCATTAAGAGAATTGCGTGAAGATAGCATCACAAAGGGGAGTGGGGGGTGAAGTTAGAGGTGGTCCCCTCAGTACGTTAAGATTGATTTTTTTTTTTCCTATTTTTCTTCCATTTGTTAATTTTACGATTTGGGGCACTTGACGACACTATCTATGAGTCTGTGTCTGTGTCTGTGTAGTTCACTTTTCGATTTTTCTTATTTCTTCCCTTCACGCACATTATATGTACATGTATATATTATTATTATTATTATTATTATTATTATTATTATTATTATTATTATTATTATTATTATTATTCTCTTTTTTTTATTCTTTCTTATTATGTGTATGTATATTTGACATCCTTTTTTCTTTTTTCTTTTCTACACTGTAACGATAGGTGTCTCTTCATTGTATACAAGCAATTTTACGGTCAAATATTATAAGGAAATAAATTACACCGTGTAGAAAAAAATATAAATATAAATATATATATATATATATCACACAGACACAGAGACAAATAAAAGGTACAACAATCTACGAGGGGGAAAATCACAGTTTTAATCATGACGCAAAGTGGAGCTGTGGACGATGAAATTAATGCCATTCGTCGTGAATTATTGAATCTTAAAGTTCAGATGTCCACTATATCCCCTGATTCTTCTCTTACTTCACTTGATGACAATGAGAGTGAGGATAAGATAAATGTAAAGGATCGTAAGGGTAATAATACGAATGAGAAAGAGGATAATAATAATAATAATAATAATGATAAGAGGTTGAATAACGGTGATGAGGATACGAAAATTTTCACACATTCCTCTGAGCAACTGCGTGATCGACTGATGCGAGAGCGAGAGAAGCGACTTCAACTTGAAGAAGAACTACACATGCTGCGAATGAGTCATGAGGAGAACTCCGCGGATGCCGTGAGAGCGAAGAATAAAGAACTTGAGCAACTCACACGTGAGCGGAATGAATTGCAAGAGTGGCTCCAACGAGGCGTAAATGAATGTCGTCGTGTCGCAGATGAGGCATCACGCTTAAAAAATGAATTAAAAGAACGAACAGAACATTGTCAATTACTTGAAAATACAAAAGAAGAATTACTGGAGAAAATTAACAGAATACAAGGACAACTTTCCACTACCCAAACCGAATTAGATCAATTAAATGAAATAAAACAGATGTTAGCAGCCTCTGCAGATGAACGTGCCTTCTCTTTACAGAAGATGGAGGAAATAAATGCGAGGCGACAGAAAGAGTATGAAGCCCTCGTGGTGGAATCCGAGTCTTGGCGTCATCGTGCCTCCACACTTGAGAATGCCGCGATGTGTCTTCAACTTCTCACAGAGCGATTAGAGCAGCAGCAGCAACACATATTGCGATTGAGTCAAGTTGTACGTAAAGGAACATTAATGGATGTCTCCGCTGATGCCTTTGTTCTCCGTGAGAGTGTCGCTGAGCCGCAGCAGCAGCAATTGGAGGAATTAATCCTGCGGGCAAAAACACTTCTCCACACTGTAGCCGCAGCTCTGCAGGCATTGCAGGTGGATATCGCGGCCTTCATGCGGGAACAACAGTGTGCGCAGGCCGAACAGGAGGCCACACACCGCGAACACCTCGAGGCCGCACATTTGGAGAAACAGGCGGCTCTACACAAATATGAAGTGGAGAGGGCATCACTCCTGCAGGAGATTCATCATCTTAAGAAGGAATCACTACGACTACTCACAAGGTCTGGTACTTTAGACACGGAAGAGATGGATGATGTGGAAGGACGTATTAGTGAAGTGGAGTCTATCATGGCAACAAACAAACAATTAAGTGAAACGAATGAAAAACTGCGTGAGGAAAACGCCGTTCTGCAAGCCAAGTTGCGTCGGGTAAAGTTAGATTGGCGAAAAGTACATGAGAGTCAATTACGTTTTCAACAGCTACAGGTGGAGGTGGATATGATTAGGAATACTAATGAACGAATACAGAAAGAGAATGAAAACCTGAAATTAATGATGGAGTTACGCTCCAATACCCTCTATGCCCAAGAGCAGGAACAATCCGAAGGAGAACAACCACCGCTGCCATCATCACAACTACCCTTTTATAGTGTTAACGAGAAAATGTCAGCTGCTTCCGTGCTTCGACCAAGTGTATCGGGTATGAAGATAGATAACAGAAGTAGGAGTCGTGGAACGAGTAGGAGTCCTACACGGACAGGAATCAATTCACAAAGAAGTACCGAAAGAGAACTATTTCAAGAGTGGAAGCATGCAGTACTAAACAAGTTGATTGAGTAGTATGTTATTATTTTTCTTATTTTTTGTATTTTTTGATTTATCGACTTTTTTTTTTATCGAAAGTATTTTTTGTATTTATTTATTTTATTTCATTTATTTTTGTGGTAGAACGAGTCCAGTTTTATCGACTAACACTAAGAGTTCAAAGGTGTGGTGCCTAGTGTAAACAAAAAGAAAAAAAAAAAAAAACTTTGCTACGGAGACATCGTTCTTCTAACAAGAAGAAAAAAAAAAATAAAAATAAATATATTAGTTTCTTTTTTTCTTTTTCATTCTTTTCTTCTTTATATCGTTTGCTGAAAGGAACTAACCATTACGTACGTGCATGAAGTGTGCATAAATAGCGGAACGTATGTTTTTTCCAACTTTAAAGTGTCTTTTAATTCGTCCATTAAATCGAGTGACTCTGGTTGGTGCTCTGCATGATGTCCATACCGGTTTCCTCGGCCAAACTAGTGTTTTTCAGTTTACACTTACCTGCACTTTCCTCGACCTTAAAACGTCTGATTCCATCACCACTTCCAACTCCACTACCACTACAAAGTCATCTCAGTTATTATCCACACTAGGAACAGGAACATCAACAGGAGGAGAACAAATAGTGAAGGAACAGTACACAGTTCGTTGCTTGGGTGATGAGGCGTACACCGATGCCTTGAAGAATGTACTGGATGATGGTTCTATTGTGCAGGTGATTGGACGATTGAAAACCTCTGAAGTTATGGATGGTAGTAAACGACAAATGTTTCCATGTGTGTTAGTTGAACAGGGCCGTTGGAGCAGTGTTTCGCTGTTGTACTCTATCAGGAAACAGCGGCGCGACTGGCAACTCCAGAAGGCTCTCGAAGAAGCATCTGCTGCGGAAAAGTCCTAGTTAAGCTTTTTTTTTCACATCTAACGATTATCACATATATCTTTTTGTGTTAAAAGTGGATTTTTTTTTTTTTTACTGTGTTCATCATTCCTGTGTATTATTATTTTCTTTCTTTCTTTGTTCTCTTGTGGGTTTTCTATATATATCCATGTTACTCTTTTTTTTAATTGTTTTTCTTTTTTTTTTTACTTTTCCGATTTAATCTTTCTAGCAGCCCACGTATTATTCCCCCTGTTACTCTTTTTTATTTTATTGTTGATCATGTCTCTCATTGTGGCTGGTGCGACGGGTGCCATTGGCCGCTGTGTAGTGCGTGAGGCCCTGCGGCGGGCGGAGTTCACACAAGTCGTCGCCCTCACCCGTTCATCCGTAGGAAAAACAATAACACCAGGAACAACATTAACAGGAATACCATCCACAACAAGAAGAGCTTCTGCCAGTGATGTTGAAAAACTATTTGGCTTTAAAGTTTCTGCAGAGGAAGGCGCAGATTTATTGACGGCGACGCAGCTTGAGCGTCTGCGGCTGTTAACATTCGACTGGGAGTTATTCTGCAACTTTTGGGCAGCGAGGCGGGATAAACTCGCCGGCGGCGTTGTGCCCACATCGCAGTACGTTGGCGGCAGTTACGAATCAGCGGAAGTGTACTACACCGAAGTGTTCAGCGGCCACAAATATGCGGCGATGTGTCTTGGCACTACACGCCGAGATGCGGGAAGTGCGGCGGCGTTTGAGCGTTGTGATTATGAATACGTTGTGAACTTTGCTGAGGCGCTGGAGGTATTTAGTGGTAACACCCTCTCTACGTACGCACAGGTAAGTTCGCATGGGGCAAATGAGAAATCATGGTTTCTTTACATGAAAACAAAAGGGAAGGCGGATGCAGCCGTAGAGGCACTTCAATTCCCGCGTATTTGTATTTACCGTCCTGGTGTGCTCGATCGTGGGGACAAGAGTCGATTTAATGAAAAGATGATACACTTATTTACGCGTGGAATACCTGTTGAAGTATGTGGTCGTGCGATCGTAAGTGATTTTGTACACTGCGGCAGTAAGGGTAGCGATAGTGCACCAGGGACAGCATCATGGAAGTGTGCGGGAAAAGAAGTGAAACCCGCATTATCAAATAAGGCGAAATCAGATGCTCAAGTTTTTGTCTTTTCAAACGACAGTATAAAAATAGAAGCTGCAGGATTGGTATAAGAGGTTTTTTTTAATTATTATTTTAGATGTAGATGTTCATTTATGTGGTGGTTTTCTTCATTTCTTTCCGGTTCAAAGGACTTTTGTCTTTAAAATTTTATTTTTACTTGTCTTTGTTTTCTTTATTACTACTCTGAGAACGATTCTTTTACGTTTATATATATATATATATATATATATATTTACAAGGGAATAATAGTTATCTTATTGGTTGGAAGCTTGTGGAACGAACGTGTCTCAGTAAATGGATCTATGTCTTGAGTAGATCGAGAGTTGTGTGGTGATTCATTGTTTTTATTTTTTAATTATGCTTCTTTCCATTTCTTCATATTTCTCTATTCTTTATTTTTTTTTTCTTTCTTTTTTCTTTTCTTTCTGCTGCGATGAGTGGTACTGGTGAAGTGAGCATGGACTTCTTTTCCCTGCTGAATCAAAGGCAGTTGGATCAGAATAGCGAATTCCGCAGACTCTACCGCCTCTCCGCGTGCTACGCGACGGGCGCAGTTCTGGCGATGTTCGTAGCTGCTCTGATAGCACCAGCGGGCACTCCAACAGAATCACGCAGAGGTGATATCTGTCTTGCCGCCTCTCTTTTGTTTTTTCTTTCTAGCAGTATTGCGGCGTATCTCATGATGGTAAAGGCGTTAAATGTCTTAAGCACCAGTCGATTTATATTACCATCCTCATTTGGGGCACCGCGTCTCCCGGCATCTTCTTTGCTTATACCAGTTTCATATGAGGGTCTCACGTTCAGACAACGGATGGTTTTTGTGTATGGATTGCTGGTGAGCGCTATTGTGTCTGTGAGTGTTGGGGTCGGTACAAATTCTTATTATGCGTATTTATTATTGTTGTTTATGCAGTTTGTACTGTTTATTGCCTCATGGGTTGTTCTCAGTCGTATGATGAACGTGTCAAGATGAAGAGGAACACTAATCCTAAGAAGAAAAAGTAGTTGAAGGGGTTATATATAGTTAGAGAAAGATAGATGGAGATGGAGAGAGCAGTTTTATACGTCTGATGTTTTTTTTTTGATTTTATTGTGTGTGTGTGTGTGTGGATTTATCTCTGTCTATGTTTGTGTGTTTCTCTGTACATACAATCTGATGAATAAAGAAAGAAGAAAGGCTGTTGGTTTGTGTCTCGTTGAAACAGAAACGAATATGTACAGGGAACTTGAAAATGTGGTACCTTGTTTACCTTTTCGGTAATGACGATGTGATTTTCTTCCATCCGGCTTTTCGTTTTCTTGTTTGAGATTCCCTCTGTCTGTCTCTATGCGTATAGGTGTAATATATAAAGGATGGGTTGGGCTTCTTGCATGTTTCACTTGACAGGGAGCTTAGTAATGTAAACTGTGTTTTATTTTATTTTATTATTATTGTTATTATTATTAATATTATTATTTCATTGTTCTTCTTTCTTTCTTTCTTTCCTTCTATTTTTTCTTTTTTTACTATTTTAGTATTTATTTATTTTTTTTTCTAGAGGATAGAATATAACTCTTCTGAGGTCCATACGTTTCCATATTTGACCAGTCTTTGGTGTTCTCATTAACTTCTTTCTGCATCGAATGACGGATTCCATTGCCCATACAAATATAGACTCGCATGTGCACACATTCCCACTACACCGTGCGAGAAAGCCATCATGTGAAGTAAAAACAAAACAAACACATCGACTGAAGTTCCACTCCAACTTGCGTGTCCCTTCACCACCGCCTGTTGTGGTTGTGGCTGCGGCTCCTGCCTCTACTACTGTTTCTGTGGCCACAACTTCTTCCCGAAGTGAATTAGAGGATCGGCTGCAGTATTTACTTTTGATTGAAGATCGTCTATCGCCTTCTGTGGTGGAGGATGATGTGCGATGTGTGTTGGCAGAACTTCGAAGGCGACGACGCGAACGAAAGGCGGTGGCTCCATCCAAAACACATTCGTCTGGGAATTTAGGGGCCGATCGTCCACATGTGACGGCATTAGTACAAGCATGTGAGTCGGCTAATGAGAATGCGGCTATAGATATTTTACGTTCTTTCTATCAAACTCATTATGTTCCTTCTAGTAATGAAATAGGAAGATCATTGGTGTACACGGCTCTAGCAGAAGCTCTTATTAAACGCAAAGCGAGTGATAAAGATATTTCTCAAGCCTTATCACTTCTAGACGATGCGGTGTCGGAAGGACATGTAGGGGCCATGCTGCAGGTTGGATTGTGTCTCCGTGATGGCATTGGCGTTCCGCCGGATCTCGTGGCGGCACTCACGTGGATAGAGCGGGCTGCGGATGCGGGATACGCCCCGGCGATGTTTGAACTCGGGGCCATGTATGAGGACGGCGTTGTTGTTGGAAATGATGAGTTGAGTGCAGATTGGGGGGAGGCGGTGGTGTGGTATCAGAGAGCGGCGGAGCAGGGCCACACAATGGCGCAGCTGAATCTTGGGAAATTGCTGTGGAAGGCAGCAGCAGCAGCTCGTGATGCTATTTCATCTGTTTCTGAAAAGGGAACTATTTCGGGACTTGAGAAAAGATCATGGGAGTGGTTGGAACAAGCAGCATCTTCTGGTAATGAAGAAGCCGTTCGACTTCTTCGCCGTAAGAGATGAGAAGTACAGAAGGAAGGAAAGAAGGAAAGAAAGAAAAACCATATGTCTTTATCCTTTATTTCTTTTTTTTTTTCTTTTTTTTCTTTCTTTCTCCTTTTCTCTTTCTTTCTATGTGTGTATATATGTGTGCGTTTGTTTTCAATCGTTTTTCTTTTTTCTTTTTTAATGTCTTATTTGTGTTCATATCCGTTGATGTGGAACTGCCAGTGGTCCTTTAAGTCATTCATGTATAGTGAAATATACACTCTTATAGAAGAAATCAGCATATATTTATATATTGGTACGTGAACGGTGTTTATTTTCTTGCTCTTTCTTCTTTTTTTGGCATTTCTTGTTATTATTACTATTTTATTCTTGTGTCATGGTAGGTGTTATATATATTGATCTTTCTGTTCCTTTGTTTGTGTGTGTGTGTGTGTTTGTGTGTTTCTCATTTATTTATTTTTTTTTCTCTTTTCTCTTTTACTGTTGTTTTCATCATATTTGTATTCTACACGTTTTAGGTGCTTTAATTCAAAGAAGAAAGGAAGAAATTTGCTGCTACTCAACTGTTTGAAACTTAACTACCTCAAAAGGACGAGAAGAAAGCAAGTAACTGACTTGAAAGGTTCTGGTAATAAAAAAAAAAGAAGAGAGAATAGTCTTTGGAAAGGGACCTTGTCCTCCTCCTCTTTCTGCAGCAAGATAGATAAATAAATAAAAAAACAAATAATAAGGTATTAGAAAGTAACAAGTCTTATTTATATATATAGACGTTCTTATTATTATTATTATTTTTGCTGGAAATTGTAGGAGGAATACAGGTAGTATGATTTCTAAGAATAATATCATTAAGGAGATTCGTCTGTTAAAACGACGTCATTGGTCAACATGGGTGACTGTCTGGCCTTTTGTGATACTCTACTCAGTGACCTTTGCGCTTTATATGAATCCTGAGTTGATGTGGGATCGTATGACGTATCTTGTGCATACAACATACATTGACTTTTTCCACGCTATTTGTATTCCTTTGGTGTTTTTTATTCATGCATTTCTCTCGTTATTTACAATCTGGTCGGTACGCTTCCGTTCTTTAATTCTGTTTAAGGCGTTGAAGCCAGATCAATTGTCTTCAGCTACGCATGTGTTTGTTTGTACATTTGAACATAAGGGTGAATCCGAGATTGTACCACTGATAGCAGCAACAAGTGAACATCCCACCAGTTTTATCTTCCAACAGCGAAAATGGCGGTTAGACAGTAAAAGTGGAGAATTTGTAAAACCACGGTTTCCCACAAAGAACTTATTATCATCATATGTTGATTGGAAAGGAATTACATCTGCAGCTGAATGTGATCGTCAACGTGATAGTTTTGGTTCAAATACAATGGAGGTTGAAATTCCAGAGTTTCAAAACCTTTTTGTAGATCATGCACTTGCCCCATTTTTTGTATTTCAAATGTTCTGTGTTTTACTTTGGTGTTTAGATGAGTACTGGTACTATTCCCTCTTCACAGGAGTGATGATGGTAGGAATGGAGTGCACTGTGGTGATGCAGCGTATTCGAAATATGAAGACACTGCGAAATATGGCAGAAGTGCCCGTACGTGAAGTGACAGTCGTGCGGGGTGGAAAAGATGTTCGCATCACAACAGTGGAATTATTGCCGATGGATCTCATGGTTGTGGAGAATAACGTGCCTTGCCCAGTGGATGCGATCATTGTGCATGGCACCTGTGTGGTGAATGAGGCCACCTTAACGGGTGAGTCTACACCTCAACTGAAGGAAGCCACAGACCGTTTAGATATTCCTCTTGAGATGAAGAAACACAGTCGACATCTTCTCTACTCTGGTACGCAGTTGTTATTAAGTAATGGACCACATGGGGCAACCGAGAAGGAACGTGGACGTGCTCTTGCAGTGGTGCTGAAAACTGGATTTGAGACAAAACAAGGAAAATTACTTCGTACTATTCTTCACAGTCAAGGACGTGTAAGTGAAAACAGTGGAGAGTCTTTTGCATTTATTGGAGTTCTCGTTGTATTTGCGTTAGCTGCTGCTGGATATCTTCTTAAACGTGGTCTTGAAGATCCTAATCGCAGCCGATGGAAACTGTTTTTGTCATGTGTACAAATTATTACAGCAGTTGTACCACCGGAGTTACCAATGGAATTATCACTGGCGGTCAATACTTCTTTACTTGCTCTTATTAAATTGCAGGTATTCTGTACAGAGCCATTCCGTATTCCATTTGCTGGTAAAGTTGACACCTGCTGTTTTGATAAAACCGGAACTCTCACAACAGATGAAATGCTTTTTGGTGGTATTGATATGGCAGATGGAAAAGGATTATTAAATCAGTTAAAAACTGTACCCAAATCAGCAGAATTGGTTCTCGCTACTTGTCATTCATTACTTCAGTTAGATGGAACCGACACTGTTGCCGGTGATGCGATGGAAAAGGCATCGGTTTGTGCACTTGGATATAAAGTAAATATGGATGACACTGTGGTGTACGATCCACCTGCACCAAAGGAGGAGGAACAGAAGAATGGAACAAAACCTTCTACTGCCAGTAACAAAAAGAATAATGTTGGTGCGAATAGACAATACAAGATTCTTGTTCGCTTTCCTTTCTCAGCAAACTTACGACGTATGTCTTGTATTGTTAGCAGTCCAGAGGGAAAATTTGTGGTTTCAAAGGGTTCACCAGAAGCAATCGCCAAATTGTGTAAGAACCTTCCTGAAGATTATCATAAAATAGCGGATGAACATGCTTCTAGAGGTTTCCGTGTGATTGCATTAGCATCTCGACCTTTACAAGAGTCAGAACGAAGCAAGGAAGCTATTCATCAGATGCAGCGAGAAGATTGTGAACAAGGCCTTAATTTTGCTGGTCTTGCTATATATGAATGTCCTCTTAAGAAAGATGCAAAGAAAACCATTACAATGCTTCAAGGAGGAAGTCATCGTTGTGTTATTATTACAGGTGACAGTGTACAAACAGCGATCTCAGTTGCCCGAGATGTTGGAATCCTTCAATGTCGCAAACAACTTGTGGCGATTGGTGGAAATAAAGATGGAAATCATACTATAGAATGGTGTGATGCAGTAACAGGAGAAGTATTACAACTTGATCAAAGTAGTATTATCAAACATACTTTTGTACGTGATCGTAAACATATGACCCCTAAAGAAGATGAATGGGATCTTTGTGTAAATGCTGAAAATATTTCTCCATCTTGTATGACGACAATTATTAAAAATTTTAATGAACATATTGCTGTATGGGCTCGTTGTGCCCCAACCCAAAAGGAAGACATTGTAACCGATCTCAAGAAGAAAGATCATGTTGTTCTTATGGCTGGTGATGGTACAAATGATGTAGGCGCATTAAAGCAAGCACATACGGGTATTGCCGTACTAAATGCCGCTGCTGTCTCTGCATCCGCCGGCGATGGAAATGCATCTGCGAATGCCCCTCAATCTCATAATGAACCAGATGTACCTGCCGAACATAAATTACCACCGGGATTTAAGTTCACTGTTGTGCCGCCGCAACCTTCTCCAGATGCACCTTTTATGGTACAAATGCGTCATAAATTAGCAGAAGCCCGTAGGAAAGCAGAGATTGTGCAAATAGCACGTTGGAATAAACAACTTGAAGATAAAAAGAAAGAAAGAGAAAATGAAAAGGCTGCTGCTCCCCAAGTTCCTCCTGAATTAACTTCAGATTTTCTTATGACTTCAATGTTTAATGAGGATGATATGGATATCGGCGGTGTTCCTCAAGTAAAACTGGGTGATGCCTCTATTGCAGCTCCATTTACATGTCGTTCAAAAGCCCTCATGTCTGTTTGCGATGTTGTGCGCCTTGGACGAAGTACTCTTGTCACGACTTTGCAGATGTACAAAATTCTTGCTCTTAATTGTTTGACTTCAGCGTATTCCATGTCTGTATTACACACGGATGGAGTGAAGCTTGGTGAAAAACAAATGATATTGGCAGGTATGATTCTTTCCGTTTGTTTCCTTTGTATGTCACGTAGTCAACCTTTACCATATTTATGTCCTCAACGGCCTATTACGCGTGTGTTTCATCCATACATGATTTGTACTATTTTTATGCAATTTGCTTTACATCTTTACTGTATGGTTCAAACTGTCAAACTTGTGGAAGAAGTTGATAGTACGGAGGTTCAAAGTATGCGACAAGTTGGAAGTGAAGGAGAGTTTAAACCTACTCTTCTTAATTCGGCGATGTTTTTGTTAACGACTCTTATGGGTGGCGTTATATTTGCTGTGAATTATCGTGGTGAACCTTTTATGCAGAGTATTCGAAAAAATAAACCCATGTTTTACACATTGATTCTTCTCGCTGTTGTTGTTGTTTACTTCGCTTCTGAGACTGATCCAGAAGGAAATGCTATGTTTGAGATTGTAGCTTTTCCCTCACCGGAATTTCGTCAACGTTTTATTCAGTTGTTAATGATAGATGCTGGTGGAAGTTTTGCCATTGAATACGCTTGTCTTTATTTACTGACAGATTATGCGTGAGTAAAAAAAATGAGGGTGCGAATTGCAGCGAAGAAAATAATTGGCAGGTGTTTACAATAAAGGAAGCGTTTTGGATGGAAGGAAGGGGGGAAAAAAAAGTATGGAAATGATAGAAATGATTGTTTGAAAAGGGTAAGAAAAAAAAAAAAAAAAAGACGGAAACATTCTTTTTGTTATGTATGTGTTTGTGTATGTGTGTTTCTGCGTTTGTGGGCTTTTTTCTTCTAGGCAAAGGTGTTTTTGTGTGCCTAGGGAAAACGAAACAAAAACCGGTGAAGGAATATATATGTATTTATTTCTTCACAATTTAATTAAAAGAATAAATAACCTCTGGGTTTGTGAGTGTTGAATTACTACCCAGTTCTCACTGATGTTTTTTCTTTTTTTTTTTCTGTTATTACTGCCTCTGTATGTGTTTTGTTTCGTTTTTTGTCTGTATATGCCTAGGTGTGTATGTATATACTGTATAATTTCTGAGTGTTTCTTTTTTCCATCTGTAGTGTTTCTTATTTATTTCTCACTAGTTACAGAGTCGGTACAAGTAACAAGAACACACAAACAAACAAACAAACATCTATATACATATATATATATAGATCTATATATATATATATATATAGATAGATAGATAGGAAAGAAGTCCTTTGTAAATACTTCCACGTTGACAGTTGTAGATGAGTACCCTACTTGACCACACACCGAGTGTAACGATCTGTGAGAAGAGCAGCAGCTCCAAGGGTGATGGGCGGGAGGATGCGGTGCCGCCCCTCAGTGTACCGGAGTATCTTGACAGCACTGTAATGGCTGTTCTCACAGAGGGACTGGAGGATCTGTGCCGCCAGAGACCCGCAAATCCAGTGGACCACCTTGCGTTGTTTCTACTGCGGCGATCACAGAGTAATACCTCAATAGAAGTTGCACCCAAAGACGCCGTTCCAGTAGAACCGGTGAAGGAACAGCATTGATGTTAACTGAGTCTGTATGGCTTGGGTTTCCTACTGCGTTCTTATGTTCTTGTTGCACATTGTTAATAAAAATGTATAGGTGATACAGAGAGATTTTCTGGAATTATGGATATTTATACACACTTGTATTTAGTTGCAGGTAGAGATGGAATAGAGTGTGTGGTGTATGTTTTTTTGTTTTTCTTACTCACTCACTCTCTTTCCTATTCTCTTCCTTTATTTGTGTATTTCTGTATGTGTTTGTTGTGAATTTCATCTCTTGATATTTTGTAACATTTTCCCTTTTTTTCTTTTGTTTTTGAGTTTGTAACAACTGTGAATAAAAATTTAAATGGTTTTCTTTCTATACAGACATTTAAACAGAATCAAGAAAGATTATTAGGCTAGAAAGACATCATCAGATATCATGCGGGTTGCTAGATGTTGTTTCTATCCCATGACTTCACTAGCCTCATTTCTTACATGCCACACTTCAACCACACTTCCCGATCGTGTTCTGTCGACTAATAAAAAAAGTGTCTCTCTTCTCTCAAACTCGCGTTGTATTTATGAGAATCTTGCTGCAGAGGAGGCACTTCTTCGTGGTGTGGTGTTGGAGCGTGATGAGCAGTTACTGTTCCTATACGCCAACCGCCCGTGTGTGGTGGTGGGCCGCAATCAAAATCATTTGCATGAAGTCGCGTGCCGCCGTGTTCAGCGCGATGGTGTGGCGTTAGCGCGGCGCAGCTCCGGTGGTGGGGCGGTCTATCATGATGATGGGAATTTGTGTTTTTCTTTCTTCACACACCGCAGCGCGTATGATCCGGCGAAGAGTATTCAACTCTTACGTTTGTTTCTCTCTCATGTGTACGGCATTCACCCTGATCGTCTCACCTCAACATGTCGTCATGATCTCTTTCTAGACGAAAAGAAAATCACTGGATCCGCCATGCGAGTACAACGTGATATTGCCTTTCACCACTGTACACTATTGGTGTCTTCTTCTTATGAGTCTTTGGGGAAGTATTTACATTCGGATGGGGATTATGTTTCTTTTTCAACTTCGGCTGTTTCCTCTGTTCGTGCTCCAGTGACTACACTAGTGCGCAGCGGTGTTTTACCATCCGAATCATCACAAAATAGCGATGATATCGTACATGACACCAAACTGGCCGCAGCCAATTTCTTTGTTCGTCATGCAACAGATATTCTCTCTAATCGTACACCATGGGAGATGGATCCATCAGTGTTTAAAAAGAAGGAAGAGGAGATGAAATCAGTGGAGAATAAAAGTGGAGGAATTTTCGTACTCGATGTGATGGGCGCACTGCAGGAAGACACACCCATGGTGGATGGTGAAGGACGTAAACCCACTACAGGATCACCTCAAAGTATACAGGAAGAAACAAATCGCCTGCGCTCTGTTGAGTGGCTTTTTTCAATGCCCAAGTTTGAAACTCGTGTTTCTATTTCCCTGACAGAACTTCTTAAGTGGAGGTCTGATACACCACCAAGTGGTTGCTACATCTCAACAGATGATCTAGTGTATTTTATGCAAGGTCACAATCGTCTTGATGTTAGTGTAGTTGTTGAAAAACGTCGCATTACATCTATTTCTTCGTTTTGGTTTAAGGATGAAACAGATGTACAGCAGGATTCATGGTGTACATGTCTTCTTAAGATTATACTAGAAGATTACTACGTGGATGATGCTAATGTTGATCTGAGTGAAGCGAATACTCTTCTTGAATCTGCAATGCAACTGGAGTGTCGTGATCTGCTTGCTGACATGCCCTCTCCTGATAGGAGTTCAAGAGATAAGATCACCGCGATGCGGTGTTTTCTGCAAGCGGTACTCTCTGTGTGGCGTTATAAAAACGTTTTTATCTCTCCTTCGTGTTAAAGAATGATTTAATCCATCTACTTATTTGAAGGGGGTGTATTGTATGAGATGATAAAAGAGAGTAAAGAAAAAGGTAATATTCTTTTTTTTTTCTTCTTCTTTTATGTCCTGATAGGAGTTGGCTTAAGTTTATATGCTGTGACCTTCCTCTCCTGTTTTTTTTTTTTTTTTTTACTTTTTTACTGTTTCTTTGCTATACCTTCTGTAATCAAATGATAGGTGGAAATCAAAAGAAAGAAATAGAGAGAGAGAGAGAGAGAGAGATAAAAAGAGAAGATAGAAACAACAACTAAAAAAAGAAGAAAGAGTACTTTTGAGGTGCCAAAAAATAAAGCAATAAAATATCAAATGCATCGAATCACTTCTCGCATCTCGAGGTCTGTGGGGTTTTCACCATTGCGTCCTAGTCACTCTCCCTATACAGTGCCGCTTGTTCTGCTCTCGCGAAGCTATCACACAACATTACCGTTAAATGCACCCAAATCCGAGTCCCCTGCGTACCAGTGTGGTGAGTGTGGTAAGGCATTCCGTTTACTAAATGCTTTAAACCATCATATCATGACAAAGCACGCGGGTCACGCAAAGGCCATGGTAAACAAAGGAGGGAAATTAGAAGAAGTAAAACCTGAAGAGGCAAAGGGCAAGTCATCGTCCGGAACTGAAACAACCTCAACCTCAACGACAGCATCAGCAGCAGCAACTGCAGGGAAAATGCAAGGACATGTAGGATTTCCAGGAATGGCACATTCCACATTTGGAGGACCTTCTCTGTTTGGAGCTCCACTTGGTGGTGTTGGTGTTGCTGCTACTCTGGCGGCCTCTGGAAGTGCAGCGACAGGTACAACAACTGGAGTGGGGTCCGTAAACTCCACCTCAGATAATACTATTGCTAATGATGATGCGGATAAGAAATTATTCGTTTGTACCATTTGTCAAAAGACTTTTCGATTGGAGGCAGCTCTACAACATCACTATCAAGCAAAACATAATATGGAAATGCCTACATCTTCCACAAGTGGTAATAATATTGGTCAAACAACCCAAAGCAATACCCCTGCAGGTTCATCAAGTACTGCTTTTGGTAGTTCAGGGGATGATGCGACGAAGCCTTCTTCTGGAATGCAGTATATTCATAGCCAAGAGTCTGTTCTTCCACAGGCTCCACAGTATCACCTTGATGTTGCCCCAAATGCTCCTGAAGAGGGTGATGTGGCTGCCCATTGGCGTTGTGTAAACCATTGCGTCGTAATGGGACCAGTACAAAATATTCAAGAAGGATATGTCTTTGAGGATAAGGTTGTTCAATTTACACTCGTCACTGACTTTGAAGGACCATCACCTGGGGATCCTGACAAGGATTTCCACACTGTGCGGGTTTTTGATATCACATATAGCGATCAAGTAAAGAAGGAATTAAAAGAAGGTGAACGATTCCTTGTTACAGGCCGGTTACGCATGATACCACAATACGACGCTGCGATGAAGAAATATTATCACTATCCTGTTATTCAGGTTCACCCTGGCTGTGGTTCTGTTGTGAAGGTATAACACCTATGAAAGACGTCCTCTCGTCAGGTTAAACAGGAAAAAAAGAAAAAAAGAAAACCTTTCGCTGTGTCTGTGGTGCCTCTGTATTAATAATAATTATTTATTTTGTAATTTATATTGTATTATTACAAAAGAGTGAACAAAATGTTTTTTTTTTTTTCGTGTGTATCTAATGCTCTATAACATCGTTTTCTCTTTCTCTCTCTCTCTCTCTCTCTCAGTATAAGTTTTTCTTTTTTTTTCTTTCCTCTTGTATTTCCATATACATCAAATCTTTCTTCATTGTTAGAGTGGTCATTGACGACGACGTATACAACTGCGTAATTCTTCTTGTAATACAAGAATACAGTTAAAGAAAAAAAAGTGGGATAGAGGAAAGTAATAGATTGGTAGATATAGAAAAGAAGTAGAGGAAAGAGAAAAAGATAACTAAAGAAGAATAAGAAAGTTTAAATTACATGGCATCAGTTGATGTAGTGCAACAATCTACAAAACAAAAGAAGAGCCTTCATTCTGTGGGAAAGTTTGACTGTGAGGCGCGATGTTGTTGTGGTTTTGGAGATGTTATTTGGGTGGGGGAATTAAAAGGTGGAATAGCAGTGTATAGTGCACAAGAAGGAACTCTTTTAGAACGTATTAATGTTGGTAATACTGATACTAGGGTTCATTTCAAGTGTATTGTGGCTGTTTTTGGAGAAATTTGGGCAGGTACTATCACTGGTGAGGTTCACATTTTTGATGGAGTACTTAAACGTTGGAAAGGTGTTATCCGCATTCATGGTGTTGAGGCGGCGGCGCCAATAACATCTCTCTTCTTTGATGGCTATTCCGTGTTAGGTGGATCTGAGACTGGCCGTATCGTGCAGTGGAACCCAATAAACAAACAACAAATGACTGTCTTTGTGGCACTTGCCCCAGTGACGGCGGTGACTGTTGCCTCTGGTATTGTGGTTAGTGGTGATCGAAACGGGGCGGTGCAGCTGTGGAATATGTGCAATGGTTTGCTTGCGGCGGAGCACACGAAAGATACTTCTGGTGTTACGAGTCTTCTTTACGAGTGGACGACGTCTACGTTGTGGGTGGGTCGTCGTTGCGGTAGTATCAGTGTGTATGCGCTTTCCCCGCTGCTACAGTTTACGGGCCGTGTGCGTGTGGACGGTGGGGCGGTGATATCTATGCACGCCGTGAGCGGGAAAGTACTGGTGGTGTCGGCCGGCCGCACAGTGGCGGTTGTGGCGGCGAAAACACTTGCGGTTCTCTCGTCTGTCGCGGCGGCACACGATGCGTTTATTCACGACGCCGCGTGTGTTTACGCCGCTACATCTGTGCGTGCGTGGACGATTGGCAACGATGGCACTGCCCGCGTCTGGGACGTTGCCGGTTATTATATTCCCACCGCCCCAACCACAATGGCAACAACAGCTGCGAACACAATAGCAGCAAATGTTGGTACCGACCGAATGTTGCAAGAGGCGGAATGGGCGGTGCGAATCTCCGAATCGCAGGATCAAGCAGCAAGTGCGGCGGTCGAGTTGCGGGCCGCACGTGAAGAGGTACACGAACTACGAGTACGCCACACCGCCGTTGATCGTACACTCGGTGATAAGGATGCAGAGATCGCCGCACATCTTGCGCGGGTGAAGGAACTCGAGGAAGATGTTAAACGTCTGCAAAAGACAGTAGCAGATACGGAAGCCCGCGCGGATGCCGCACAACGAGAGTCCACTATGCTTCGAAAAGATTATAACACTGCTCTTCAGGATGCCTCTCAGGCACGTGCGCAGGTGTCGGCAAAGATTGCTGAAAAGTCAGGGGTTGAACAGCAGTTATCGGAGCAAAGGACGGAAAAGTCACATTTGGAAATTCGACTTCGTGATAAGGAGGCAGAGGTGACACAGCTCAAGGCGGAGAATGCGAAACTTCAAAATATATTGAGTGGGAAATCACTATCTTCATCCATACTACCATCAGAAAAGGATATGTATCAAAAGATGCTCGCTAATAATAGTGGAGCCATGCACCAAGAAATGGATGAACTTCGTAAAAAGTGTCAACTTATGAGTGGATTATTGGTATCAATGGAGTACACAATTAGACGAAAAGAGGAGGAAGAACGAGATTTAACGGCACTCATGAATGCTTTCCGTCGTAAAGTGGCAGATCGTGTTACTGATCCACATTTGGCTGCACTACTAAACCTTACTATGTTACGTAATCCAAGTCGATTTGAAATGGAGTGTGATGAACATACAAAGTTGTTATTACGTGATAGAAATGGTCCTTTTATAAGATTTCTACAACTATTGCGTGATCGTGAACCACGTACTTATGAAGAGTTGGTAGAATATTTGCAACATCCTCTTGCAGGATCCAAATTTGGTGACATATTTGAAAAATTAATGTTTCTCGCTCAGAAAGAAGGCGGAATTTCGGATAGTGATATGGTATCATTTAAGAAGAGTTTACCAACCCTTCTTGACTCACTGAATGCGTTGAATGCCTCCAAAACCATTACAGGAGGAGGGGGTTCATCTGCAATAGGTGGGCAACAAGGATCAACATTAACTGGATCGGCTGCAACTTCACAACATCCATTAACCTCACTAGATGCCAATAGGAATTCTACTATGGGTGGTGATACATTCAATAAGAACAATACAAACTTACTTTCTGCTACAGGATACCCTGGTGGAACTCTCCAGAGTGCCACAACTCTTCAACAACAACAACAACAACAACAACAACCGGTAACTTTGGGTGCTGCTCCTTCAGGGACTGCAGTGCCTCCACAGGGAGTGGATGATTTAACGGTTTTCCTACGAAGTTTAAATCCATTTAGAGAGAACCTTGATTCCATCGCTCAGGGTCCTCTGGGTTCCGCTGAGGATAGCTATGTCAAACAATTACGTAGTACATTTGAATTTATTTTACAGACACGCCGTGACTTGGTTGAGCAACTTTCAGTTTTGGTAAAACGTGTTGTGAAGGCACGCCAAGTAGTAGATGCGTTAACAAGCAACGCCAGAGATAATTCATCCCCTTCGCATCTTCGCCTTTCTGTTAGTGGTGGGGGTATAAGTGGTAGTGGAGGTTCCTCTGCTGTAGGTGGCCGACACAGTTTGGGGTCAATTGCGACAAATATTCTAGAAGAACTTCATCGTCTGGCATTGGGAATTGTCTCTACGTATTTGACAACCGCAGAAAAGCAACGTGTGGGCTTTGGAGTATAGAACCTTGTAAAGTACTGTGACTAGTATAGAAGTTGTCTTTACAAGAGTCTATATGTACGTATGTATGTCTAGGGTAGCATTAAATATGGTCACCGTTGAGTATATTTATTGTTTTTATATTCATACATATGTTTATCTATCTATGTCTCTCTACATATATATAGAATAAAAAAAGGGGAATGAGCTGTGTTTATTGCCAGTAAACTAGAACCTTGGACACTGTTTTGATTTTTTTTTTTTACTTTATCTGTTGCAGTTTTTTTTTTCGTTTCGTTTATTCCTAGCTTTCAAAAGAGAAAATATTACTGGTACTAGAAATTTTGATGATGATGATGATAGTAATGATGTGACTTTTTCTTTTCTTCTTCGTATTCTTTTTTTTTCTCTTAATATGCTAAACTTAATCAGTTAAATCATTCTGGACAAAAAAATAAATAAATAAATAAAGGTAGTAAAACATTTAAAAAAAAAGGAAAACAGTGTACGAAAAGGGTATTTTCATATGTCCCAAGGTACTGCTGAAAAAGAACAACAACCCTATGAGGTTCTAATAAATGGCCGTTTGTATGATTGCCGTGATTTCAAACATCCAGGTGGGAGTATTCTTCGATTTTTCTCTGGATCTGGGGATGCCACAGAAGCTTTCTTGGAGTTTCACGAAAGACTACCAAAGGCAAAAAAACTTTTGCAGATGCTTCCCAATCGTGTTGCCTCCCAAACAGGTGGTGCAGATCCAAAGGAAACTGCCAGATTAGAAAAACTCTCACGTGATTTCCGTAAATTACATGATGATTTACGTCAAGAAGGTCATTTTAAAGCATCTTATTTTCGAGCAATATATTTATTGACTGAAGTAATTATAATGCATGCGATTGGGTTATGGATTCTTATGAATACAAAGTATTGGATTCCAGCGTGTATTATACTTGGCATCGCAGAAGGTCGCTGTGGTTGGATTGAACATGAATGTGGACACTACAGTTTCTTTGGAATTTCCTGGCTTGATAAGAAAATTCAGGAGATATGTTATGGTTTGGGAGATGGGATGAGTGCTGCCTGGTGGCGCACACAACATAATAAACATCACGCGGCCCCACAGAAACTTCGTCACGATGTGGATATTGAAACTCTCCCTCTCGTTGCATTTAACAGAGTTGTGGCAAAGCGAGTGCGAAAGAACAAATTGGCACGTCGTTGGATATCATGGCAAGCGTATCTCTTCGCACCAGTTACAACCTCTTTGGTAGCTTTATACTGGCAACTCTACTTGCATCCGAGGCATATGATTCGAAGGAGATGTTACACCGAAATGATTTCTGTACTTTGTCGATGGTTCTGTATTATTGCTATTTGCTATCATATGCAGTTCACAGTTTTACAAAGTATTGGTGGTTATCTATTTCTTCAATCTTTTGGTGCTATTTATATATTTGTTCAATTCTCACTCTCGCATTCACATCTTGATGTACTTTCAGCCAACGAACAGATCCATTGGGTAGAACATGCTTCTATTTACACTATGAATATTTCTCCTCATTGGATGACCAATTGGTGGATGGGCTATTTAAATTTCCAAATTGAGCATCACTTGTTTCCTTCTATGCCACAGTTTCGTTTCGCAAAAATTTACCCTCGTATTCGCGCTTTTTTTAAAGAAAATGGTCTGAAGTATGACTCCCAACCCTATTTTGAAGCGTTGAGGATGACATTTAAAAATCTTAAGCAAGTTGCAGCTATGTTTGATGAACCCCCTTCTCAAGAATAGTCGACAAGATAGACACGACTTTTTTTCTTCGTTAATTGTTGTGTTTTTTTTTTTTTTTTTTTTTTTT